CCGCCACACCCCCCTCCCCCAAGTCCGCGCCTGGCTTTCGCGGAGAGGCCCCTGCTGCCTCCCCGTGCTGGGCCGTCAAAGGGGGTGTCGCACCCCAGTGCCCCAGCGAGTTCCTCTCCCTTAGCTCCGTTGCCTGTAGCGTTTCGCTGAACTCGGGCTCTGCGCAGTACTGTAACCTTTGGGGCAAGGGCTGTGAGCGGGACCCAAGCGCTGCTGGGCCCGGGTTAGGCGGGGGGGGTGGGAGGAAGATCAGTGGTCAGCGAAGGACAGGATTTTATCGTTTCACTGTACCGGGGGCGGGTCTTTCCATCAGAGGGATTAAACCCATATCGATCCAGACGATTTTCCCCAGAGTGATGGATTTTGAGGCCCAGACACGATACATAAGATGTATAAAAGCTAAAATTGGTGCCTACAGTTACAGTAGTTTAACCAGGAGACTGAGGGATCTGAATTTCTTCTGTGAAATTCAAAGTACTCTCTCTTCCGCTTAAGTGTTTACGTGCCATAAGGTTACATTAGTGGCCATGAAATACTGCTTTGCTGTTAACATGCAGGTCTCGCGTGCATTGAATACTCTTGTAGAAGCTGTCTAATGGGTAACCTGTGCTGAAATAGTTACAGTGTTATTGGGTACATCTTGGAATAAAAACAGCTGTGTGATGTGTATTTCTTATTAGATGTTCCTGATTAACAGGGGAGCTCTTCCAATTAAAAAAAAAAACCCAAACAGTTTTATCTTGTTTGGAAAATAAAGGATGCTAGCTAGTGGAGTGGTGCTCGTTTGTTCAGTTTATTACAACAAAGTAGGCCTCGGTCCTTCGTGGCTTACAAGAATATTTAACTTTACTGCTGCAGCCAGTTAATTCAACTTCTCATAGTACGTGTTCTTAAACTTGTTTAGGTTGTGCTATTAAAGATTTAATTGATTCTCCCTGTAAGCTTATTCTTCATTTCAGAGCATTTTGCCTAATGGACTTGGTTTCCTTCCATTCATAGCAGAGCATATGTGTATGTTCTATCTGTATGTCCTGAACCACTCTCCACTCTTCATAATTCTAGAATTATGAAGGCTGTTAGCTTAATTCTGGGGTTTTTTTAATTTTTTTATCTCAGTCTGTATCTGTAGGTACTCTTTCAGTACAGTTCAAGTTGAAAATGACGATAAATGATTTTTAAGGTGGTAGAAAGGCAATCAAGTACATATTACTGTAATAGTTTCTCCTTTTAAAATATTTATGGCTGTTTCTGTCTTCCGCAGAACTTTCAAGGTAGTCTTTCTTCATTTAGGTCTATTAGATAGCAGTAAGGTGATGGAGAAGGTACACTGTTAGTAATTTCTTAGTGAGATTAGATGTATGTAGTTTTTAAAATAGTTTGAAATAAACTCCTTGAACATGTTTTGTGTATTTCTTTTGTCATCACTGTTTGAATAATGATGGTCAAGAATAAATATTATTGTGCTGGAACAGTGTGTCATCTTTCTTAAGGAAAAATGGTGTCTTACCACTTTGCTCTGTGCTTTTTCAGTGAATAGTTTTTAATGGTTCCTTACCAAATAGAAAACTTCTCCTGTTAAACTTTGTAAGTGTAACTCAAAAGTGATTTCACTTTTGTTTTCCTTATTCTAGCTTTTCTGCGTAAAGTCTACAGCATTCTTTCCATTCAAGTCCTTTTGACTACAGTCACATCTGCAATTTTTCTGTACTCTACTGGAGTACAGGCATTTGTTCATGAAAGGTAAATGCTAAAATGAAATGGGGCTGTTCATTGTGTGTGAAGTACAGTTTATGTAGTTTGTTGCTCTGGAACACTTCAGTATTCCATATGATTTTTTATACCCTTTGTTTTGATTCCACAATAGAAATTTTGTAACCTGATTGGGAAGTAACTTTCCTGACATTTTTCTCCTTGGTTCATTATTAAAATGTATTTTTATTATTATAATTGAAGTTTATTTTAATCAATACTTTACTAATATTGCCTAATTTCATATTTATGCTATGAAAACCTATTCATCAGCTGTGGAACATCTCAATTATTGACATTTCTTGTTTTATGGTCTAAGTATTTACTTTTTAGAATCTGTTTGGAATGCTGTTGTTTATAGGTACCTGCTCCAAAAAGCTGTACTGTGTCTTACTCCTCCCCCTCCCTCCCCCATCTCCTTTGGTTTTTTTTTCCCTGAAAACTGGTCTGCTAAAATTCCTGTGGGCTTGCTTCTTTATCCCTCTCAGATTTCCATGAGGGGGTGGGGGTGAGGGGGGAAGTCTCAAAAACCACAGTGGTGAACAGGAAGAGGAAAAAAAAACTGGGGAAAGGAGGAGAGCACTGAATCCAGTTTCTGTTTTCCCCCAAGTGCACTTGAAGAATTTGCTTTCACTTTCATTTCAAAGCCCAAGTAAAAAAGGAGCATCAAACATTATATCAAAGTTTTTGTATTGGCTATAGTGTGTGCAACAGAGGTTGTAAAACTACACTTTTCTACTTGAATTTGATAATTCCAAATTGTCCTTCTCACTTAGAATTATTGTGATTTTGTGTTTGATTTAGGTCTAGTTTTTGCTTGGAGGACTGCTTGAATGATGTAGTTACGTATTGAGTGATCAGTACTGGTTTTCTTTGGTACAGTTATTCCCCATGTTTGTTGCACTCAGGTGCTTATAAAGAACAGTTCCCTGAATATGGAGTTCTTAATAGGCAAAATATTACATATACTTTAAAGGTGTAGTACAGGTGGATTTTCTTCTTCATATGGGTTCATCTCCAGGTGATGGATTCCTGGGCAACCTTTAGCTTCAGTATGAAAATATTGTCTTTACTTGTGACTGTACTATTTTTAAATGATCATCTGTCGTGGTATGTTTTAGAGGAATTTTATTGTAAAACTTGCTTTACACTTACTTTGGATATACAGATCAGTATCTTCATCTAGGTGATCACTTAAAAAATTGGTTTTGTATAAACTGTTTATTAGTCTTACAGATATCTTAATTTTGATGATGCTTTTTGTATGAAACCTTACAGGCCTGCCTTGCTTTTGATATCTGGCATTGGATCTTTGGCTATAATTGTGGCACTGACCCTCTACAGACACCAGCATCCTGTTAATTTATACCTGCTTTTTGGATTTGTAAGTACTTACATGAGTTCAAGTGTAGTTGTCCCTAGAATATCTTTCATTGTGATGAAGCAAACTAGTGGTGGCTACACACTTAGGAAGTTCAGAGATATGTTTTGGAGGTTCTGTCCACAGGTTGTTCCTAGATAGCCTCTACTTCAGGTTTCTTCCAGCATCATTTTAGGAAGAGTGTTACAACTTGGAATCAGGTTGAACAAGCTCTTGCCCTGCCCCACCCCCCCCACCCCCCAGTGTGTGTGTGTGTATATATAAATATATCTGTCTGCTCTCATTGTTCTGTTGATGTCAGTGATTTTTCTATGAAACTGCTCAGTAGGAAAGAAGGAGGCATTTCTATTACCTTCCGTGTTAAATGGACAGCCTCCAGCAGATACACAAACGAAACCAGCCAGATGCGTGTATTTCATCAATTGTTTTCTTTTGGATGCTAAACTCTGAGCATGTTTCCAACACAGGCAGGTCAGGCAGAGTTGTTCTCAAATTTCAGTCTCATGCCTGACGCTGCACATCTGCAGATACGGGCTAACTGTCACTCATGGATATTTTGGATTATGTAGCAAATCAGTGTTCTGAAAAGAAGTCACAGTAGCACCATGGAATTTGATGCTCTAGGAGTTGCCTAAATTGTACTTGTGGTACAGTGGGAAGACAGCTTTGCTGTGTAAGTAAATAGACTTTAAATTGTAACACAGTTCTGTGCTTCCTGATCTGGAACTCTTGCAGAACAGTAAAATGTTTAAAAACTTTGGACACGTGCAGCTGTAACAAGAAGTGATGTAACATTTTGGCCAAATGTGGTGTGGGAGTTTGTGCGTAAGTTTAAGTATTCCATTGTGTAGGAATAGAAGGATTCAAATTATGTGTGATAAATTGGTTTAAACAAAATATGGATTAAATGTTCTGTTATTTCTAACCCCTCGGATCATTCCATAGATACTTTTCTCATCTTTTATTGTAGTGAAACAATCTGAAATTACCTTGTAGAAAAACTCAGGGCCCGCACTAGCCTTCCGCCTGACATCAAGAATGTGTTTGATTTTAAGTTACCAGTTTCAAAACAAGCATGAGTGGGAAAAGGAAATTGAAGCAGATGCTTAGCTGTCTAATGAGATACTACGAGTGTTGGAGGAAAGTATTTCAAATATGGCAAAGTATACAAAAAGTTCATTTTTAATAGCAGCTCTGAGAAATTTTATAGCAGCTTGAATAGTTTGTGAGAAGTGTGGTAAGAATGCTGTGTGCTGTGAGTGGAAAAACTAAATGGCATTTTTCTATAGGGGCGTCTCATTAATTTTCAGTTTATGACGTGCTACATAAAAATAACACAACTACTTCCACTACAGTAAGACAGTATGACTGCCATTTTCTTGTAGAAAATTAAACACTTTTTCATTATACAAAGGCTTAACAAGAGGACTGATGTAATGGATTCTGGGATTATGCAGCAGAATGGGGGTGATTGCATGTGAAATCTCTGTGTAAATGTTTTGTGGGGGATTTTTCCCTCGTAATTTTTTGGTTTTACTTTTTGTAGACCCTGCTGGAAGCACTGACAGTTGCCATTACAGGTAAATGGTATCTATCCTATTGTCCGATTCCTTATAGAAGTAGCAAAAGCAATCCACTGTGTTGTACTAGTTGCCATCGGAGGTCCCTAGCCGGCACTAATAAATCCCCTGTTTGAAAATTTTAATGATATTGATATGACTTAAGCAAAATAAGAAGGAATCAAGGGAGAAAACTGGTTTCTGATCCAGAATGAAACCTTTATCATCCTTAAGTGAGAAATGAGTTGTGCTATCCATTCTTTCATTGCAGTTAGCAATGCTCTATAGCAGCTCTCCGCAGAGCTGATCTGCAGGTGCTTCCCCCTCATTTTCCTCCAAGGGAATTACTTCGAGGTTGGAGAGTTCTGCACTTGGTTGTCAGGGTTGAGATGGGGTGGTGTGCAGACAAGTTATAGCATCACCTTGCATTTATAGCTTCCAGCATAAATTGAAACCTCTTTGTCATGGTCTCCTTGAAAAAAAAAAAAAAAAAGTCATTTGGGGAAAGGAAAGATTAAGGAGGAAAGATGAAAGTTCCACTCATTTCTCTTATCCTTCCCTTCCTACCCCCTAACCCAAACTTTTATGGGCCTTTACAGAGGACTGATTGTCTTGTGCTATTTTTTTTCTCGTTTCAGTATCCTGAAAAATTCAGATGGCTTTTTTCTTAAAATCTCACATATCTAGACATAAGAAATTTTTTGTTTTCTTTTTTTTTTTTTTTTTTGAGTAGGAAAAATCTGTCATCTTCATTTAAGAAGCTACAACTATACTATAACTGTCAAATTTAGCTAGTGCAAGGGTCCCCGAGTCCTCTGATCATGATTTTGCAGTGCAAAGACAAGTTCAGGTATAATTTACTTTTTGTTTCACAGTTAAGATTTTTTTTTCTTGTCTGTAAAAGTTTAAACTTCTGTTTCCTCAAAAGGTAACTTAGCAAATACACAGTGTGGTGTTCTTTAAATGACCGTTTACTTCTTCTGTTTTTAGTGAGTTTCTATGATGTGTTCATCGTCTTGCAAGCCTTTATTCTTACTACTGCTGTATTTCTTGGACTGACTGCATATACCTTGCAGTCAAAGAGAGACTTCAGCAAGTTTGGAGCAAGGTATGTTGTCATATTGATAACTTTTTTTTTAAGTTTGTTTTTCCTTTTTTAAGGCAGTCTTTGCAGCTGCTATAATGAATTCAGGTCAATAGAACCTGCTTCAAGGGGAATGGTGAGGGTGTTATTTACCTTAAAGTATTAATGTTACGAGTTCTGTTTTCTTGGTAAGAAATTATTTTCTGTGATCATGATTCTTAAAAACCATAATATTTCACTAGAAAACTAGCTTATCTGGATTTTTCACCTAAGGCAGCCACTTCAAATATTTTTTTAAAAAGTGAAGTTAGGACATAACCTTGACAGCTGTATAAAACCGACTTTTACTGCTGATACCAATGAACAATTGGCATCTAAGAATTATGGACATTTACTTACTAAATGATTGTGAAGAGGTTTTATAGAAAGGAAAGAGATTTTGCATAAAATTTTACCTGGCCTAGTGGAGGGTGTCCCTCCCCATGGCAGGGGGGTTGGAACTTGATGATCTTTAAGGTCCCTTCCAGCCCAAACCATTCTGGGATTCTGTGAAAATTTAAACGAGAAGATAATGTTGCTCACAGTTTAATATTTTTTTTTTTCCAGCCTCTTCACTTGTTTGTGGATTTTAATCTTCTCAGGTTTCTTAAGGGTAAGATACCTTGTGTTCAAGGTTAAAAAGTAACATAAACCTTTAACATAAATCTTTACTTCTAGTATAACAAAAAAGTTTTGGACAGTGCAGTATAGCTTAATGAAAGAAATTTCCTAACCAGATCCGTTACTGTTGTAGATCATGCTGGTGATCTCTTAACCATTCATTTTCAGTTCAAATTTTTATTGGATGCTGTTCTTGCTAATGTGAAAGTGGTATTTACATTGGTTAACAACATTTGTCAATTGAGATTCACTACTTGATTAAGACAGTGGGAGGGAGATTTGAGGGTTAATTATGTTTTGGTTTTCTGATTTTTCTGCTGTTAATATTCTGGAGACCAGAGCTTTCCCTCTCTTAAGTGGAGGCGCTTTTACTCCGTTAAAGAGATTGTGTGACTAGGGACTATATGAAACAAGAACATTGAAATGTCATCGTAATATTGTGTTTGTGTGTACGTAAAAGGACAGTGTGTATCATTGTCTTAAGTGTGGCATATCATTATGCAGGGATTTTAATATTAAAAAAAAAAATTCAATTTTTTTTTTCCACATTTTATTTGCCTCCAGCTGTTTTTCTACAGTGAGACAATAGAGTTGGTGTTTGCTGCTGCCGGAGCTCTTCTGTTCTGTGGATTTATTATTTATGACACTCATTTGCTGATGCACAAATTATCCCCTGAAGAGTACATTCTGGCTGCAATCAATCTCTACTTGGACATCATCAATCTGTTCTTACACCTGCTGCGTTTACTGGAGGCATTTAATAAAAAATAGCCAAAAGCAGTGTGGTTTGACTGCAGCATCTATGAAGTACCAGAATAGCGTTTGGATGATCTACACAACTGCATAGTTCTGTCTTCTAGAGACTGACTCTTTATTACTTTGTCATTCCATGGATATTGATCCCTCCTTAGGGAAAAAAATGCTTTTTATGTAGCTACAGTTCTTCTCTAGAATGTATCTTTTATGTAGCTGACATGCTGTCATCATTTCAATCACTTTTTTAATCACTTAATTTGCACTTGACATAATTCACAATTAAAACGTTTGCCAATTTCTGTTTGCTCCAGAGTAAGCATCTCTCTGCTCTTCTGTAGCTGCTAGAAAGGTTGCCCTTGGGATTTTAAGTGTGTGTACCACATAAGGGTAGCCTGAGTTTATCACTGTGCAATGTTTTATTAAGCTGAGTTGGTTTTTTTCCTGGTTTTTGTTTGGTAAAATGGCATGCTGTGTCACAGAGGTACTCTGTTCTTGTTAAGGGCTGTCAGATTTAAGCCGGGAGGGTAGTAAAGCAGTTAAAGGGCATGTTCTTCATGTAAGTAGTATTTATTGCCTGTCTTTCAGTGTTCTGAAAAATCTTTTGGAGATGGATTCTGGCATTTTATCAGCTCATGTATATTAGGGTTAATAGTCTGTCAATAAAAACCAGGAAACCTTGACTCTGTTCTTGCAGTTGGGACTGGAGACCTTGAGGGCGCCGAGAAGGAGCACTGCAAACCCTGGCTTGCTGACAGGGCAGAGGTGCCGCGACAGTGGCTGCCTTCCCAGCTGTTGAAATCCTGGAGGGGTGGGCAGGTTAAAAACAATTTTGAAAGGCTTTCTTATTTCGTATTCAGTGTTTGTGATGAAGGATGGTTGCCATCCGCCCAGCCTGTCGGCGAGAGCTTTGCAAAGAAGCGACGTGGTACTTGGGAAACGTCCCCCACGAGTGACAACGTCTGCTTCCCGTGCTGGAACTTGACCAAGTCTGCAAATTGTTTTCAGCAAGCGTGATGATTTTTTCTCTTCTATCATTAGGGTTTCATTAAGAAACGTGTGGCCGTAGCTAAAAATAAAGCTTGGCATTTTCGTGGTGATGCAATAGGTGTTTATTTTTCATCCATCCCCACCACCCCCTGCGTGCAGTGATGGTTGGACGTTATCATAGAATGGTTTGTGTTGGAAGGGACCTTAAAGATTATCTAGTTCCACCTTACCTCGCAGCTGCTGCACACCGCTGATCCACGGCACCAGCAGGGTGCAGGAAGGCGGCGGGATTCGCCGGGGCTCGCGGGAGCAGAAGTGGGGCGGGCGCGCTCGCTCGGAGAGTTACGGTAGAGCCCGCGGTGCCGCAGGGACGCGCTTCGGGGGCGGGGCCTAGTACGTCTGTCCGCGCATGCGCGGAGAGCGAGGGCAACCTAGCGCAAGTGTGGGCGGCGGGCCTCGTG